CATTCTGCTGGTCAAACTCTCGGCCTCCGGGTAGAGAGGAACCCATACGAGGCTCTGCCAAAAAGCAGAGTCTCGTCTGAGGTAGCTAGACGGCTACCTGACCTCGTTTGTACGGCGTCTACGGGGAATTTTTGACCGGGCCTACGGGCTCAGACACCCTACAATAAACTTGGCCTTGGGGCGGTAAGTGAATATCTTCACCAGACATTGATCCGTCCGAATATCACTTGTTCCGATCGATGGCACGTGGCCTGGATGAGCAGAACTGTCATTCTTATGAAGATTCAAAGAAATGGGTCGATTCATGGTTAGATCAAAAAAACGTGTTGTTTTTTTTTCCGACGTGGAATTCAAATGCTCTCAGAAAGATAGGAAGAGGTAGCGATGGACAATACTTTCAGTGATATTTTTTTTGTCACATAATTTTCTACTAAAAAATAAAGTCTCACTTTTGCTATTCATATTTTTTAGCCTTACTGAAACGACAGAAACAAACAACTCATTGAGATAATTTAAAAAATGCCCAGGGTTGGCTTCAAATTTTGAACTGTATATATATATATATATATATATATATATATATTTCCTCGAATACGAGTAGTGAATATATATATATATATATATATATATATATATATATATATATGAATTCGAGGAAACCCGTCTACTAGGTTGGCTTGCCTATTGCAGACGCATTTGTGTTTGTTCGACACCCACAGAGCCTACCTGTTACAGTTTCTGGGAAAGAGCGTGTTATCTAGTGTGATCAACAATCTGATCAAGTGCTACACGTTCAAACCATCAGTCACAATGACTTGTGACTTCGATGGAGAAATTTGGCATTTCACATAACGAAGAAAGAATGTATAAAAATTGAAAACTTTGACGGTACCCTTTGGGGCCGTTAATAGATGTTCTACCCAATGTCACTCAGAAGGCTTGGTTCAACCCGTGGTATCGTTTTCAGGCACTTTGTCCAACGCTGGAAAACGCCCACATCGATGACATCAAGAAATCTCCGGGGTCTCATGGCCAGAAAGCAAATGTTCTAACCACTCGGCTACGTGCCCTTGTCGGTCGGGTTTCGAAACGGACTTGAAGCAATCGGACGTCTAGCCACACTGAAGAGTTGGGATACTGTAAAACACTCAGTCTGTGGATGACAATATATGCTCCCGGAAAAAGCGGTTGAGCTCCCGAGAGAAAGGGTGTTTTAAAAACAGCGGCTCCTACTGATATTAATGCATTACTCTGCAAGTACGAATTGAGTTCTCTGGGCCACTGGCGTATTTCGCATAAAAAAGCGTTAAAATTTCCCTTCCTCGCTGCAAAGGGTTACGATCTCTGACTGATATCAAATCGGTCGGGTTTCTGTCTGTCTGTGGATGACTATATATATATATATATATATATATATATATATATATATAAAAGTGAACATAGAAGTGGTTAGAGGC